CGCAGCTCGCGGAGCACGCGACGCACATTCATAAAATTATTATTTTTATTTGTTTATATAAAAGATATAAATGGAAAATTAGGTGGCTGAGTCGATCTTCGAATACATTAGAAGTGTGACTTATTTCGTGTCGGGAATGAGGGAGGAGGGTTTGGACGATAATAAAGATTAAGAAGGGGTGGTTGTACGGAGGCTTAGTAAAACTTATGATTGGGATCCTCTACGATGCTTGAGATCCGATTATTTCTCCAATTCCACAATCCACCGTTCCCTTGATCTCAATCTGGGATCTCAACCATTCACACATGTGGGCCCGATTCGTGGAGAGATGACCACGGATGGACCGTCAGATGTCAGATGATTAAGGGATGGTGGAGATCGGGAACTAATTGGAGGGTCGATCTGGATCCTTACTCGAAAACATTGCATCCGACGGCTACTACTCGTCCGAAGGCGACAGCGGTGAGCGAAGCGAGCGAGCGAGCCCTAACCATCGCCAATTCGATCCTCAGATCCGCCCGGGGATGGCAGCGGCGACGGAGACGGCGGAATTCCTCTTGGCTTCCACGAATCCGGTCGACTCTCCGTGGCATTGTCTCGAATCCTTCGCAACATCCCTTCCAGGTTGGATTCTATCCAACCTTCTCCGGGATTCTTTTCTCGTGGCCTTCGAGGAAAGTTTGCTTCTTTTTGTTTCTGTTATTCCTGTTTGTGATCCCGCTCCCGCGGTCAAGTTCGATGTCTTCTGGACGCTTGCATTTGGTATCTACATCGACTTGTCGGACACAGACAAAGGTTGATGCGGCTACAAGTTCCGCCGCCTTCGAGCCTGGGTAAGTTCTTGCTTACCATAACATTCTAATCTTTACCATTCACATTTAGTGATCGCAATATTTCCAGTTAAATCTTTTATCATTTCTTCCCAATTTCACATGACTTGAAAGGGTTTTTGGGGTTAAGTATATATTCCGTCATCCCATTAACCTGGTAACCCGGAGATATATCCTGGTCACTTGGTGTTGCATAGGCATCAATGTCTGTTGTCAAAAATATCATTTTCTTACCGAAAATTGTTGCTGGCTTCATCAGATTGTTGCATGAAGGAGTAGACAACTTTTATATGTTTTCTGTAGTTCAAAAGCTTATTGCTGGCTCATGACAGTCCTAGTGGTACAGGATTGATCAAAGCACATAGTTTTGAGTCAGACTCGTTGGTCAGACTTGTTGGTTTGTAAGAATTTTGGTTCAAAGTGGTATTTCTGATACGAATGGCTCCAAGTATCTGGTAGCTACTGTAGAGCCAGGGTCCTTCAATTTCTTAAGAAGCTTGCTGACTATGTTGCTATATGAAAATACCAATGTGGTAACTGAAATTTGATGTCAACTAATGCTACAACCAATACTATGTTTCGGTTAATTAGATCTTATCTAAGCTATGTTGGGTGTCAACTAATGCTGAAGTCTGTTCTGTACTTTTTGGAAAAGCAAGATCCATTTTCATGGTTATGAGATTTGTTGGCAAGTATGTATGAATATTGACATATATAGCTTTTATGTTCTCAATTTTTTGCTTTATATTTCTCTATCCACTTGCCAATTCATTAATTTTTTTTTTAAATCAGTCCTGAGCTCATTGATCCAATCGGACTAACCTTGCCCAATCTTGATTGCATTTGGATCTTTGGTTACTCACCATGAACTCTTATGCTTTATCATGTTCTGTTGTGTCTTCTGTTAGATTCTTGAACGGGTATGAATTATGAACATGGGTTTCCTCCTGCTGGTTTTCAACTAGATATTGAATAACTGTGGTATTCTTCATTACACTTCTGGTGGCCAGTTCACCATCTCAATAGTTATTGGAGGGCCTGGAGGCGTTGACGGCAACTTGGTGAAGAAGACCTTATAATGCTAATGGTTGCCTGCTCGACACCTTATACTGCAAAGGGCTTATGAAAGCAGCAATAAGGAGTGAAAAACCTGAAGTGCTGTTTGAGTACCTGTTACTATATAATCTGAAGGAGAGGATCCCTGACGAAGAGTATGTGCTCTGGCTGGAGAGGCTGAGATGGTTCGACCAGGAGAACATGTTACAATTCTTATATATTCATGCATGAGGTATCATGTGATGCTGGCTGCAAAGATGCTAGTGAACAAAACTATGATCCTGAGGTTATCAATATCAGATCACCGAAACCGTTTATCTCTATACCATTGGGAACTCCGTCAAGAAGACGCTTTGAATTTTGATTGTGGAGGAATGCATGCGAACAGGTGGAATCAGTGCAAATCTTAGGTCAGCCGTAATTGGCAACTTCTGGGACTACTTGGATGTGCCTATCATATGCTTGTCTTCACAGGTTGTACTGACACCTTATGCTGGGACTCTGAATGAGTGGATTATGGTACAACCAGCACAAATTGTGCCTGCAGTTGAGCAACTCTGCCACTAGAAGGTGCTTTAATTCTTAGTGTTTCTGAATGGCTTGAGCTTGGCTCCAAATTATTGCCGGAGTTTTATTACTCTGGCAATTTGTTCATCATCCAAGAGGGTATTGCCAGGTTATTGATTTCAAATATGAATTTTTTGTTTGTATACTTGTTCCAATTCTCCAAAACTTTATAGTTTGTTGTTTTTTTCCCCTTTTTTTTTTCCTTTCAGTGAGCTGATTGCTTACACTTCTGATCTTCTAAACTATAGGTATCTTTGGTTTCACTCATTTTGGCCCAGGAACTATTTGGTGCTTCATATATGTCAAACAAGGGGCTTCTGTGCAAAGATCAATCAAACTTAGAATTGATGAAGCTAAACTTGTCATGGCTTTGGGTTCATGATTCCAAGGTCCTACCATGGCTGACAGGTAATTTGTCCACATACAAAATCATCATCATCAGCTACTTTTAGAATGTACAAATACTACTACCTAAACTGCTTGCAGTTTTGCAAAACCAGAATCAACCAGAAAATACTGAAGATACTGATGCTGCAGAGGTATCTTTTCTCACTATCAACAAGACAACCACACAGTGTTGCTACTCCCATGAGCTTCTAAGATGAAAGAGAAGCATTTTTCGAGTAGAAATGGGATAATCCAACCCATGAAACATGCATCAAGGTCAAAGCAAATGGGTCCTAACTGTGTTAACACTGCAGAAAGTGGGTTGAGTTGCAGAGCTCAATGATTAAAGACCAATCATTCATGAGAGAAGGCATAATATGGAAGCTAATGTTTGTTAAAGTTGCAATGATTTCAAGGTCAACAAGACGAGAAGCTTGCCGACAATCATGTTACCCGTGGCAAAAGCTGAGACAGGATCAGGTACTTCCATATTTTGTTAATGTGTTGTTTATGTCTCTCTTTAACGTATCATTCAGGTTCTATATTCGAGTCTGTTTAAGAGCATCTCATCTGCGGTTTAATATAATGAAAGGTTAAAAAAAAAATCTACTTTCATGTTCATAAATAGTAATTTTGACTAGTATCCTAGTTGTTATCCATTCTAAAACAGTCTTGTTTTTGTTACGATATGACAAAAATTATATTTAGAGGAGTAATTGCTGGATAGTGATAAGGACAATAATCCATGTAGGATTAGTGTTTGAGGGGCTGTGAGATATATATACATTGGCCTAGTAGCAATAGACATGCTGAATAATGACAACGATACGGTACATCGATGAGAACTCATGTGCCGCTGACACAAGGCAGGTGCGGTTGGTCTACATCAGAAAACTGAATTATTTTCCCTTTTTTGCTGATGAACTCAATGAGGATAAAACATCAATGTAGGTGACTCCTCCAAATAATTGAGGTATCACTGCATCTTTTTTCGGATAGATGGTATTAAGTGGGATTACATTTTCATTTTTATTTCGAGTTTAGGCTAATTAATTGCTCCTGTGCTGCCCCTTGCAGTTGCAGAGGTGCAGATCTTTAGCAGACTCCTCTTCCCATGTGTTCTTTGTTTCTCACTCCTGGAGTCTCGTCGTCTCTCTCATGTTCAATCATTTATTTGGACCACCGAGAAGTGACAGAGTGGGAGGACTTCTTCTTGTTGTATTTATACGGCAAACTGTTGTGAAATATTGCAGCAGTCTTCGTGGCCTGCAAATGATTCGTTTGGTTGCCATCTCCGTATTCTCGCTTTCTTCACAGCTCCAAAGACTCTTGGAATCCAATGGTGGTTGCGGTGGCTACTTGATATGGTTCAAGTCATATTAAGATTCTTGCTAATCGGATTTAGAATTGATGATAATTAAAAAAAAAAATACTCGCAAATCTATGATGAGATTTGCGAGCATCGTATCTGTCAATATTCCTGTCATGATATATTCTTGCTAGATCTTTATCAAGCTAAATAAGTTGAGTTTTTTTAATGATTCTGTTATGTTGAATGATGAAGACCTTAGATTGGTTTCCAACCCTCCATTTTGATAAGCAAGTAGTGAGTTGGATTCATGTATAGATAGATGGCTGTTAATTTGGTTTGGAAAAAAGTGTCGATGAAAAAAAGTAATGGAAGTTGAATGAGAATATGGAATAGATTGGAACGGTTAAGTCGTCTTCCCAAAGCCTTAGATTTCCATGGCACGTGAGGCTCACGGCCAAACCTAAAATTGGGTCGTTGCGGTGTCTCTCACTGGCATCAGCTGCGCTGGCGTGGCCGAAAGCCTATGAGTTGGGTGTCCCAACGACTCAGCAGTGACTTCCACAAACACGTACTGCATGCTGAGGTAGCGATCTCAATCTCGGCAGCTGACCGTACCGTATCTGAAGAGTCTGGTGTCCAACGACTCAGCAGTGAGTTCCACGAACACCTACTGCTGAGGTCGCGATCCCAATCTCGGCAGCTCACCGTACCGTATCTTAGAGGGATCATCACCTGCTAAGTCCAACAACAATGCATGGCGTTCGTGCTCCCCTTTGGACTGGTTTACAGGTTATAGCAGTCCGGTGTGAAAGCCAAGTCTAAGAATTGATTGATGATGGGCTGAGCTATTCAAGAAAGATATGATCGATTTGGGTGGGGGGAACATGATCTAACATCGCCCGCAAACGGACACCACTACACGATGTCAATGTCCCACCACCGCACACACAAGCTGTAGCCATATCATGCACAAATAATAGTCTTCTTCTTCCCTTCCAACCCATCCTCCTACATGGCCACCCTGCTGCAGCAGTGAGCCACTAGAGGTAAGAGAACCAACCGGAAGACGCAAACAAAACAATGAACAAGAAAGCAGTAGGAGTAGGGAAAGTAGCAGCAGCTGCAGATAAGCAACCTAAGACCAGAGCCTTAAGGAGAGATCGAGTTTGGTCCTGTCTTCTCCAACCGTAGTGGTGGTACCAGCAGCGGCTGTTGCTGCTGCGGCTGCAGAGCCAAGAAGATCCTGCGCGTGTGGCTGTTGAGGATGAGAAGCTCTTTGCCAATTCAGGAGATCGACGGCATCGGTGCAGTAGGAGCTGAAGCTGCCGGAGAGATGGCCGAGGGGGTAACTGCTCGTGATGGGTCTGCAAGAGTGGGAGGCGAGGGAGAATGGATATGGCTTGAGGTGGTGGCCGCCGGCCGCAGGAGGGAGGTAAAGGTAGGAGTTCCACCCGGTGCTCCTCTCCTTCTTGTGGGCATTCTGGTGGCCTCCGAGTGCCTGTGACTTGAGGAACTTCTTGTTGCAGAAGAGACAGGGGAAGAGCCTGGCGTCCCTTGCGCCGCGGCGTCCGGCGGACGGGGAGGAAGACGAGGCCAAGGTGAGGGAAAGATCGACACTCGATGCCGGTGGCGGTGGAGACCGAGACTCAGACTCCATCTTACCCTCCTCCGAAGGGAGTGGACTGGAGTTGGGAGTGTGCCGCTGGGTTTCTCCTACCAATATATGGGAAGAGAATGACAACATCATGTCAGGACTCCCAACTCGACTCGGATGAAACCGTTTGGCTCCGAAGGACATCTCCTGCTGGATCTTAAGAACTGCCAACAAAGACTGGAATAGGTCAAGATAAGGATGGAGGAAAGGAGCAGGGAGTGTACCTCGGGGAAGGAGGTGGTCATTTAGGTCGCTGCGGCCATGCTCGGATGAGAACAAAACAGCTGATGCAAGGAGCCCAGACATGGAGCCTTCAGGTGGTCGTGGCACCCAACAACTTTACCTACTCCATGTACCTCGTTCCCTCGAACCACCACTGTTACCTATGGAACAGAGAGCACCGGAACGGTAGAACTCACCGGGCCAAGATGATCTCCGACTCCTGCTGGATCACATGGGCAGCAGCTCAATAAGATCCTAGCAAGATGTGGATCCTCATGTCCGATCACATGTGAGTCAACTTTGATTGAGATCCTCCTACCCATCACAATTTGAATCTGCAAGCGACAAATGACAACTAGTTTTCTGGATTTTCATGATCATTTTGAGGGCCTGCAACATCGAATAAACTGGCACCATAATACAAACTAAATAAATTCTAATGATTCCTTCCATGGCACAGCAGAAGAAGAAGACATGGCTTTTCCAAGTAAATAATTCAGCAATTCTAATGAGTGCAGATGAGTGTGATCGAGATAGTCATCATACCACAGAATCCCAGCTTGTGATGGCTTATTATGATGCTGCGCCACATACTAATTAAATGCAGTGTCTTTCTGAAATGGGGAAGCTTATCCCAGTAACTCCAGGGAAAACAACAAAGGTTCCAAACCCAAACATTTTTGTCCTTGTTCTTCCGCAGCAAGGTGGTCCTGCTTGAATAGTAAATTGTGCCTCCAGATCTTTAGTGACAATCATTGCATGGCAGTCTGATCTATACAGATGAACTTATCCATCAGATACGCATGCTCCAGATGGATATTTCAGCTTTCTAAAGAAAAAAGTCTTTTTGAGTATGCTGTGATGTGCATCACGAGTTCTCTGAAAGAAGAAGAGTAGAGGGGGGGGGAGGAGAAAGAATCAAGAACAAAGGCCAAACCATGGTGAATGTCAATTTGGAGAGTGGACCACCTGACTGACCTCTTTGTTTGGATCCCAAATCCTGAGCTTTCCACCCCTTTGTATCGACTGTGAGTGAGCTTTCCACACATTGCCAGAATTCAAAGGTGTACAGAGCACACATTCTGGAGAACATCAGAGGCCATGGCATGTTCGATTGTCTTCCACTTGTTTATTCGAGGACCACATCATGGATTCTGGCACTTGCATCCGGAAGACTAAATCTGCTGATGCTTCTCTAGATATTCAAGAGAGATTCTGAAGGTCGTTTATTCTCAAGTATATATACTTTCTTGGAACATCTTGTCCATAACCAGCTGATGTTAGCCACATTAACAAGAGACTGCAAGCATAAGAAGAGATTTTTTTGACAACATATCCCTTCTAGGAAGACAGAAATGAGAGGAAAAAGGAACATAGCGCAAAAGAAAAAACCTTGGATCAACACTCCAGGGATTACAGCTTAGTAGGTTTCTAAAATAGGAGAGAGACATCGCAAAACACCAGCAAATTTAAAGCAAATATGAACAAAATTACTTACATGAGTGCTTGCAAGGGTCTCCAGAGAAACATGTGTATCTGATGCAACCTGACAACCCAATTCCATGACCTAAATTGTACAGATCATGTGGAAAATAAAGAAATAATAATAATAATCAATGACGAGAGCTAATGAGATTTTGACAATATTAATGATATAGTTGATGATCTATATTACGAGATCTATGTTAGTGATATTAATATTTCTCGCAATAACAATAGTTACGATTCATCAGATCGGAAATAGTTTTATGTTGGTTATCGATGACCTAACGTAACCTTTCACTTTCTTCGTTTAGACTTAGGATCGGCATTGGTATTGTTAAATAGCATATACATCATTGGATATAGAAAACAAATGTTGATCCAAAGTCAACAATTATATAACATATTGGATTCCATCATTTTTGGCTAAACTATGCATTTCGACACAAATTGAACTTGGGAAACCCTTCATTTACTCTGTGACAGCTCGAGGGAAACTTCATCATCCAATACAACTCTTACCAGGATTCCCAAAACTATTAGGAAATACATAGCTAACAATATGCTACATATGTATCTTTCAAACACATGATTATGTGTATGATTATTGATCAAAGAAGGAGAAATAATGCATGAGAGAACCATGCATTATACCAAACGACAGAAATCTAGTAATCATGTTTACTCAGTGTTTCTTTATGCTTTTTAATGCATGTAAATGTGAAACACAGCATACATCAATCTACTCATATATCTATCTCATGCTCCATGAGGTAAGAATAATTTTTGATTGGTCAGATTTAAGCAAAGAACAATGCTAAAGCTATGAAAACAAAAACAAGAACCGAGCATGTGGTTGAGTCGAAGGTAGAAGAAGAAAACAGCGAAGAAAAGCAACTCGAAAAGGCCTCACCTCATATCTGAAATGCCAAGCAGAGTCTTCACCACCAGTGCAGTCACCAGAGGGCTCTTTGGAGTGTTGCCACCACGGCCTCCACCGCCAGCAGTCTTCATTACCATCGTTCCACCACTGCTCCCCGGAAAGGCGACGCGACTGCGTTCCAAGCATGCCACGAGACAAGAAGTCTCATCGGCCATTGCATGGCATAGGGTGGAGGGCCTTTTATTATTATTATTCCTCCAAATATTTAGAATATCAAAAATGAAAAATATTTATTGAATTTTGTAATAATATTATAAAAATAAACATTAAAAAATATGGTTTTTTTAAACTTTAAAGAAATAAAATATAGAACAATTCTAATAAAAAATAAAACAATATTTCTCATCAACATAATAATGATTTAAATAGCTAAAAAATCATATGAAAAAGCTTTTGAAATGAATAACTAAATTTGCTTAAGAACATTAAAGATTCTGCATTCCTTCAACACATCTTATCAAAAAAATATGCCATCATAAAGTTTCGATATGTATGATTTACATAATTATTTACTGCCATGAAGTAGGGATTACTTAGGGATTACGTGACAACCTAACCATACATCGGCCAAACAAAAATACGAAAAGTTACCTGAAATATTCAAAATTTTAATATAAAGCACTCAGAAGTGATAAAACTTTAGAAGGATAGATATAACAGAACTCCAAAACTATATCACAAGATCCATCAATCTTTAATATCTAAAACTAGTAAGCAGGAACGTGTTAATATATTTGAAGCATTTTTCATTTCTTCAATCTTCACTTCTTCAATAAAGCTCTTGCCTTTGGCCAACGACCACGTCGTTGAGAAAAGCGAAGCTTCGCCCTTGTCTGCCACATTCCTAAGAGGCTCCACAGCCAATCCTCATTGTTCTCACCCTATTCTGTTGAGGGAAATCCTTTCTCCTAATTTGTATAAATAGGAGAGGGAACATGTTAATATATTGAAGCATTTTTCATTTCTTTAATAAAGCTTATTCAATTCTTCAATAAAACTTCTTCAATAAAGCTTCTTCAGTAATTATTCTTATCTTCTATTCTTTTCATCATGATATAATATAATGGAATGAGAGAATGAAGAAAAGCACATTGCTTCAAATACATTAACATGTTCCATCTCCTATTTATATAAATTAGGAGAAAGAATTTTTCTCAACAAAATAGAGGGCCAGGCCTTAAGTCCACCGAGCGAAGGTAGCGAAGGCTACGAGCCTCTTAGGAATGCGACTACAGCAGCGTTGGTCGCCAATAGAAGATTTTCCTCCTATTTATACAAATGAGGAGAAAGGATTTTCCTCCTATTTATACAAATGAGGAGAAAGGATTTTCCTCCTATTTATACAAATGAGGAGAAAGGATTTTCCTCCTATTTATACAAATGAGGAGAAAGGATTTTCCTCCTATTTATACAAATGAGGAGAAAGGATTTTCCTCAATAGAATAGAAGATTTTTCTCAACAGAATAGAGAGATTTCCTCGGAGAAATCTTATCTTTTATCAGTTAGCTAGTTTAACTGATAAAAATTTATCTTGTTTCTATCACATTATCTACAAATAAAAGAAAATACTAGCATGAAGAATGCAGAACAATTAAAGAATCAGTGTTGGATAAGTTTGATTCACTAATTAGATCCTTTAATTTTCTTTTAGAAAAATAAATATTATTCTCAACTCTTTAACTATTTTCAAAGATATCTAAGGTCTTTTTATTATAAGCATGACAAAGAAAAGAATCCTATAATACTCGTTGTTCTCTCATCCTCTGCTCCATTCTACCATTCTTTTTTCACTATGTTGTATAATTCAATATAGTGATTCAGTCAATGCAAACTGTTCGATCAATGATTCAGTCAATCCGACAACAATCGACATACGCTCTTGCCATGAAGAAAACTCCTCCTGCATAGCTTTTATCGTGTGTCACGTTACAGGTGGAATCCTAAGCCCTGAAAGAAAAGCTCCACCCACTACACTTCAACCCTAACTTATTAGACTTGATCTTCCACAATGAGTAGGAAAGGTTTGCATGAATTCATCGCAGTCGAGTGGAAAGTTGGTGTATGTGCATGATATCAGAGATGCTCAATCTATTCCACTGATGTGATCTAAAATCATGGATGCTTGCTTACTTGTGTTGATCCATGAATTGGCCGTGCACGATTCTACAACTACAAGTATGACACTGCAAGTTTGTGGACCAGTCAAGGTGAGGTGGGGCTTCAGGGATGCTTAGCCATGGATAATATAGATCTTGGTGTCCATTGGCAAAAACATGCTTCGAAGACAATTCTCAATTTGATATGCTTATAAAAACCAATTGCCTATTGACATTTAGAACATTTCTGTAGTTAGTGATTCCATTGAAAGCAATGAAACTATAGCCATTACAATCCAACAATAATGCGAAGAAAATGTATGCCACGAGATCCTACCATAGAAGAGAAGAGAAAGACTTTGTGAGAAAAGAATTGTCTGGTGGTCTATTATGTACAGTCATGAAATGTACTACGACAAGAAAAGCGAAGAAAATATGCAGCAACCATATTGTCGTAAAGTCAAGTTAGCAAGGACAGTGCATGTTGAACATGCAAGGCAATGGGATCCATCGGGGTTTCTCGCGGTCCCTCACCGGCCACCCAAAAAACGTATCCGGCAAGCAGACCCCACTCGACGGATTGGCTCGTCGACGGCCACACACCGGTCTTCTTATCAAGCAGATGACGACGATGCACTACAAGCGAAGCCTGCATTTCTACAGGCATATGCTTACTACACACCAAGCAACCTTTTCCCGCACACCATCTTACTTTCTTTTCCATCCTCATGCGAGGGATTCCTAACCTTCAAATCTGGAAAAGGAAAAGCAAGCTGCCGGGTCAATGGAACTCCAAGGAGGTGGTGGAGACGGTCACGCCTCTCTCACCACCACCTGCATTCTATTTCCCCATAATGTTAATGTGTCAAAGTGGTGAGTCATTGCAACATGCAACACAAGAGAAAAATTGGTCGTCGAGGACTATATAACCGTGTCATTCGTGATTTTTGTACTGAACAACTCGAACAAGCAATCAAAATGAAAGTTACCAAACTTGTTCACTCTCTAGCTTAGACTACAAGCAAACTTATCTTGGGGTTACGTCAAGGCACACTTGATAGCAATGCTAGAATATCGAATGTCTTGACATTTCCAAAACATTACAAATATCCAATGCGGCTTATGTTGATATTTGTAACATAGGGCTAATTATAGATTAGTTATCTTTAGTATCTTGATTTTTATACTTTCAAAAAGTTATATTAGGATTCATATACTTATGAAAGTGAAACATTTAATCTTACATCGTCAATTTTGTTGGTTGAAATATCGTAAGGTTTACCAATGATCACGTGTTTACTTCGCTTTCGATTTACTATTGAACGATATTTCTATTAGTAAAGTCAATGATACGAAGAAAAATAAGATTAAATGTTTTACTTTCGTAAGTATAGAGATCCCAATATAATTTTTGAAAACATAACGATTGAGATATTAAAAATAACTAATTGCATAGACTAATCTATAATTAACCTTATAAAACATGATACTAGATTTATTCGAATCTCCACAAATGCTTTGGAAGTGCAATGCTAACTCGGCTAGTTGACTTGGAGGTACCATTCTAACTTGTCTAGTTGTCGTCAACAAGAGAATAACGTCAAAAATGAGACATTCCTCGAACTAAGTGGGTAAAAAGATGGGAAGAACTCCAAAGGGCTACGTAGAAAGTGGAACCCCACCGATGAGGAGATGCGTGCAAAACTCTCGTGTAGGATGATGCCCATGGTCCTGGACAAGCACATACACCTGCCACTGCTGCTGCGTATGGAATAGCAACAGTGTTCGTCCATTATTAGAAGGTGGCCATCTTTCGTTGTGCTCCTCACATTTTTAGGCTTGACCGGACCATAAGAAAAGCCTAGTGCTGGTTCAACATTCACGCTCTCTAAAGGATCCTTTAGTCATGCAAATCACATGCTTCAGAGAAATCCTGATGGATGGATCTAAGGGATCCAACTAGTTTGCTTAGCAACCTTGCCCTTTCGTATATTAACATAAGCACACACCTAATTTCTCTCAAGATTTTAGTTTAGGAGTCTTGGTCAAAATAAGAGTCTCTATTATAGTCAAAGTCAAAGTACCTCTCGATGAATAAAGGGCTCATATAATCAATCCTTCAGACATACAATTTGGAAAGAGAGATGAAGTGAATCAGATGAAAGATTATAAATTCTATAAAGGAAAAAAATAAATAAAATTCAGTATCCATCCTCGGTTCAACCAAGACTGCTGCCATCAGCTGCAGTTGGTAGTGTTTTCTGGTGAGGAAGGTTGGTCGAGATCAAGAAGAGGACTGGGGAATGAACAGCCATTGCCGGTGGGGCCTCATGCAGAGCTGATCATTGTGATGACTGGCTCAACGAGGACGAGTATTTGAATAAGAGAAGAGTTTCAACACAGCAGATCAAAAGTTGCTGTACCATAGATCCCAAAGTGTAATCAGAATGTGGTTTCTTAGGCATACGATGACCCATATAAATAAATACCACAATACTACTCGTTACGAGAGTCGAGATCTTTCGAACTCTCACACACATCACATATCATCATATACCAGAAACAACTCAGCATGATACTGAATGGATCGCGACTAAATGCTGAACGAAGCATAGGTCAAGATCATTTAAAACCCATGATTCCGCAACAAGGTCGAGACGCTTGTACTATGATCGACATGCAAAAATGACGACGGCTGCCGGACAAATAATTCTGGCACTATACACAGAAGACATCAATCACTACTTTGACGGGGGTACAAAACATTGGAATAATGAAAAACGTGGGAATCGAACGAGGAACGCCTTGTTTTCTAAGCATGGCATCGGAGTCGAGATGGTGCCAAGCTTGACGACCTCAAAAGGCTTTACTGGTTGTGCGTAGGTCGACCGGGCAGGGACGGCCAACCACTCCTCGTTGCAATCATCTTAACCACAGAATGCGATTAGCATCAAAATCGTTTTCCACAATTGTCGGTATCATGACATCATGGTCCGATGAATTCATAGCTCCATTACATTAGCAAGTAAGAAGAAACAGATAAGGACAATATCATCACTATCACTGTTATCATCATCGCAACCTAATTAAGGTAAGTTACTATGATAATTTTTTTTATAATAGAGTTTCCTTTTTATAATCCTCCATAAATATCAATCATAACATTGAAAATGATATATGTTTAAAACCTACGATTGAGTTTCCCTTATTGTCTAATGCTCCTATGAATTTTGGCTCTCTTTTTCTTGATTTGTATCTACTCATATTATTTCTTCATCCTAGCATAGTGATAGGAGGGAGTAATGGCATTGATGAAGAAAAAAATTCAACATTAAAAAGATCAGAAAGAACAATTATCAAATCAACATTTTATATAGATTGAGATAATATAAGTATATATCATTATTTCTTTTCTGTCTTGAGCCTATTTGTTTCGGTCAAAGGCGCTAAAAAATTGAAGGAGTCACAACCTAACTAAGATATTGTTAGTATTACCCATCATATTATTATTATTATTAAAAAGGCATCTCCATCGCCTCTTGAAGTATATATTTCTATCATTTGATAAGCTAAGGATTTCTAAAAAGAATATTTTTTTAAGTCTACTAATGATGATTATTGAACCCATCCTTAAATAGATAAAACACAAGAATTCTATTTTTTCAAAAATCATGAATAATATAATAATTTATTCATACATTAAAAATAAATTTATCTAGATCTTAGAGTCATATCTCTAAACATATATTTTTAATCTTAAAAAAGTAATGAGAAATTGAGAGACCACTTTGAATAGTATTTATCAAATCATTTTCTAAATACTAAAGCAAAGTTATATTCTTTTTTATGAACAATGCTCCAAAAAAATCTTTCAAATCTTATAATTAAATTGATTAAGAAGTTTAATACTAAGCCCACTAACTTAATTATTGTAATCCATAGTAAAAAATATTACATTCTTGCCAAGGAGATCTTAAAATATAAAATATCATTATTGTAACTCTAATATTATATGAAAAAAAGAAAGAAATCACATAGTGCAATCCTTTCTCAAATAATAGTAATAAGATACTATTAGTCCAAGATCAAATCAAATAAAGGAAGAAGAAGAAATTAAGATAAAAATAAAAAAAACTATATTAAACTTCTAAAAAAGATATCTATCTTAGAATATTCTTAAAGTCGAACCTTGAACACTTAAGATTTGAATACATATGTAGATGTTATCTATTAATAGCTATAGAATAATAATTTAAAATAAGATGTATTTATCTCTAAGACTCTATCTAATTAATTTATTTAAAAATAAAAAAAAATTTAAATTTAAAATATTTTAAAAATAATACTTTAAATCTTAACAACATATGCAACAAGTTGTCCAGCTACTAAATTCCCTTCTACTCTCAAGTCAGTCTTGTGCTTACATCTCCATCAAAATGGAGTGTTTGACCTAATGCCGACCACTGGGTGTGAGAGGCTAATAATGGGCTGGTGGTTAACCTCATGTGAAGCATGGGCGGCACACAACAACAAATTTGGAAGCTAGAGAAACAATGTTAAGCATAGAAACTGTGGTGGCTCGTTAGGTGCACTACTCCATCATGTATGTATACTTTTCATCTAATGGACTTGAAATCCGGTTCTCGCCCTAGTTTGTTTGGAACATCCAAGCCTCCTATTGGTCTAGCATCGATTCAACCGTGCCGATCAGGACAAGAGCAAATCTCAAGCAATCGTGACGATCATGAAGGATGGCGATCCCCATTAGAAATTGACTATTAGACAGATCATAGGCTAGCTAGGGTGCAAGGAAGGGGAATGAATACTAGTTGAGAATGGCACAGAAAAATGTAAATTATCTTGGGAAAACTTACTCTGGTCCTTGCAAATGACAGGATCCATATATAAAAGTGCTCCCAGTAAGTTGCTCAAGTTGCAATCAGAGGAAGATTGTGCAAGAAACATCGTTTCTAATGGTATCGGATGGCAAGTTAGCCCCACCTGAGATCACCAGTAACAGCTGATTCTAAGAGCCATAAAATACATGTGTATATGAAGTTTAAACCAGAACACAAGGGAAAAAAGGTGATGATCATAAGGTCAAACACAACATAATGATATACGAAATGATTTATGCTTATCCTATAGACTCAATATTCTTAATAAAAACAGAAAGCATTGATGAATACTTTCATCAAGAGTCAGGAAAGAAACAAACAAAGTCGTCAATGAATGCGAAAGGTAGAATGCATGTATGTCACTGTTGAAGCGTAGGCTCCTTGACGCCACAACGTCAGTCAATCTAAGCAAGATCGCAATAATAGATTAACGGAAGTGGTCGAAGGAACATAGCAAGAAGACCTTTCCTCGCATACAATTGTCCTCGGGAACTACTTTGCGATATCGTAAGGGACAAGAAGAATCAACTTTTAAGGGCGAATCATGGGAAGGCCAACCGTGCTTTTTCTTCCGCAAGAGAGAAATTTGGCTCGCGTGGTGTTTGTGTGGCTATTGGTTCACGAGAATGTGACGACTTGACAATTCTTCGTGAGTCGTTCTTCGACACATGGCAAAACTGTCTTCCACTTTCTTCTGAGAATGTTAGTAAAAGCAAGTGTTTACGAGGGGAGTTGATGCGGGTTCTCAGGCGAGCATATGGGGGGGATGTCAACAGGGGATAAGGGACGCCATTTGGGAGGAGACTGTTGCTGGTGGGACCATAGTGTCACCAGCGACACGCCTGAGCAACGGACGAGCCCTCCAAGTTTACCACGGACCGGTACTGCGGGGCTGCAGTGTTTCCCTCTTCCCGTTTCACGGCGGACCAAACCACTACTACCCTCCACCATGTGGGCTTCTGCCACCAGTCAATCACATTTAATCTGAATATGAATAAGAAAATAAATATTCCAAGAACAAAAACGACAGCTCCCTCCGAGTTCAATAAATAGAGACCCGCCCCAACCTCCGTCTCTCTCCATATCCTCTTAGGTCGCTACATTTCCTAATCAAACAGCAGCCCCACCCCAATCTCCAAACTCCAAACTAGGGGGGAGAGAGAGAGAGAGAGAGAGACCACACTCCCGTCGACCCCAAGTGCTTGCCTTGAGGTTACTTTGGCATAGAAGAATACTATGGCTTCTGCCACCACTGCCATGACTTCTACTGCCAAGCCAATCTCCAAGCCTCTCCAGTGTAGCACACCACTGGCTACTCAATCTGTTAAGCTGACGAGAAACAAGACTTCTTCCCTCACCACCCTAAGAGTACACTGTTCGGCACCCGCCGATTCCCTCAATTTTCCCCCCAACACCAGACCGGTCTACGGCGCGGGTCCTTATTGTAAGAAGGCGACGACAAGCATCGCGAAGGAATGGAGTTTGCTCCAGCGGCTCGCCGCCGCCGCACTAGACGCTGTCGAGGACGGCCTCATATCGAACATGCTCGAGCGGCCGCGACCCCTGCCCAAGACGGCGGATCCCGCCGTCCAGATCGCCGGCAATTTCGCCCCTGTTGACGAGCGGGCCCCCTGCCACGACCTCCCCGTCCAAGGCCTCATCCCACCGTTCGTCGACGGGGTGTACGTTCGCAACGGCGCCAACCCACTGTTCGAGCCCGTCGCGGGGCACCACTTTTTCGATGGCGATGGCATGGTGCACGCCGTCCACATCCACGATGGCACCGCTGCCTACGCCTGCCGCTACACCAAGACGGAGCGCCTCCGGCAGGAGCGCGCCATCGGAAAGCCCGTCTTCCCCAAGGCGATCGGCGAGCTCCACGGCCACTCGGGCATCGCCCGCCTGCTGCTCTTCTACGCGCGATGCCTCTTCGGCCTCGTCGACGGCGGCCGCGGGATCGGCGTCGCCAACGCCGGCCTCATCTACTTCAACGACCGCCTGCTCGCCATGTCGGAGGACGACGTCCCGTACCACGTCCGCGTCACTCGCTCCGGCGACCTGGAGACGGTGGAGCGGTACGACTTCGGCGGCCAGCTGCGCTCCTCCATGATCGCGCACCCAAAGCTGGACCCCGCCTCGCGTGAGCTCTTCGCGCTCAGCTACGACGTCATCCGGAAGCCCTACCTCAAGTACTTCTACTTCTCTCCCGACGGCAACAAGTCTCCCGACGTGGACATCCCCGTCGACAAGCCCACCATGATACACGACTTCGCCATCACGGAGAACCACGTCGTGGTTCCCGACCAGCAGGTGGTGTTCGAGCTTCAGGAGATGTTCCGAGGCGGCTCCCCGGTGGTCTACGACCGGGCGAAGACCACTCGCTTCGGCGTCCTGCCCAAGTACGCCGCCGACGCCGCCGAGATGAGGTGGGTCGTCGTGCCCGACTGCTTCTGTTTCCACCTGTGGAACGCGTGGGAGGAGCCGGCAACCGGCGAGGTGGTGGTGATTGGGTCGTGCATGACGCCGCCAGACTCCGTGTTTAACGAATGCGAGGAGAACCTCGCCAGCGTCCTGTCAGAGATCCGGCTCGACCTCCGGACCGGCGAGTCCAAGCGCCGCCCCATCCTGTCCCCAGACAACCAACCGAACCTGGAAGCCGGAATGGTGAACCGGAACAGGCTGGGGAGGAAGACCCGGTACGCGTACCTGGCCATCGCCGAGCCATGGCCGAAGGTTTCCGGGTTCGCCAAGGTCGATTTATTCACCGGGGAGATGAGCAAATTCGTCTTCGGCGACGGTCGGTATGGCGGTGAGCCATACTTCGTGGCGAGGGATCCGAACTCGCCGAAAGAGGACGACGGCTGCGTGCTCACCTTTATGCACGACGAGAAGACGTCGGAGTCGGAGCTGCTGATAGTGGACGCGGCCGACATGAGGCTCGAGGCAGCAGTGAAGCTGCCGTGGCGCGTTCCCTACGGTTTCCATGGTACATTCATCAGCTCAAGGGAGTTGGAGTCACAGGCCTAGCAAGAAAATGGTGTTTTGGGGAGGAGATGATACCAGAGCGATGATGCCTGCGGAGGACCCCGGTGTCACCTCCCCAAGTTCTGTACATCAGTTATTTTTACAGTTAGTGGCAGTTAGGAGAGAAACCAGCTTGTAGCAGTGGGTTCCGTTATTCTTTCCTTGGTTTTTTTTTTGTTCTTTTCTCCTCCCTGTTCATGCTGCGGATTGCTATAATAATTGATCACTACTCCATCATGCATAGAAGAGTGAGGGGATCATGTCTTGTTCTTGCATACATTCAATCCATTTCCTTCACTGGAACTTGTTCCTAACGTTTTTATCTCTCAAAAAGAGTGATGGTAGATGGAAAAGAACCGAGAGCGCTCGGTGACCGAACAATGAAAACGATGACAGCTGAGGAAACCACAAGAGAAAAGAAGCTACAAAGCACCAACTGAGAAGGCCTCTCGGCCAGGGACGACGCGTTACGGGGAGGTGGGAGCACGTGGGAGAAGAAGGGAGGGCTGTTCCGATGGTTTTCCATTTGAACATTGGAAATTGTCGAGAGAGGGGGGAGAGCGACGTGGAGAAGGGCAAGCTCGTCCTTGTGGTGTGCGTGTGGTATAGTGGATCACTCGAAACCTCTCGGTGGACCTCCCAGACACAGTATGCTGTACTGCAGCCCCTTTCAGAGCACAAGTCTCATCAACAGTCGATTACTATGCTCCCCAGTTAATAGGAGCTTTCTCAGTCGGCAATCTATAGCCAATCAAGATTTTAAATATCGGTTCAATTATCTGTGGCATGATGGGTACCATTCGGATAGTAATAGTGATAGTAATAAACAAGACACATATCTGTCGGAGCAATATCAACACGATCGATACCATGCATTATTAAGTTGCACGGATCAATAAATATCAGTCGGCATGTATCAGTCCAACTGATATTTTAAGTTATAATGACATCATTGTTATTATTGTAATTCCAACTGCGGTTCCCAATTTCGCCATGAGAACATCAACAAGGGGGGGGGCCTTATTCTACACAAGGACACCTAAATCAATTAACTTTAGTCACATCAATCTATATCTTATTGTCTAAATGAACACACCATCAATATGCAAACAATCTGTTATATTCTGATCAAACGAGAAGCTAACTGAAGCCATTGTCTTGGTGCGAATGGTTTCCCACATTAAAATGGCTTCGAGAATTGTATCAGCTACATGCTAACATTTTAGCATAATCTATTCATTTTGTTGTAGGAATAATTCCAACAAAACATGAAGCGTGATATCATTGTAGCATTATCCGTAGGAATAATGTTCACATCAAGTTCAGACTGCTCAAATATCCTCGCGCTAAGACACGTGCTATGCTTACATTGGCCTTGTATTCCCACCACAAAAAAAGGATCAAGAACTGCATTTATGACATTGACAACCCCCATTTTCATCATTATTTCTAAGAAAAATTCTGACTGCCCCTCTTTATTTAACGGAAACATAGAGAAAAAAAAAGAAAAGAAACACTTGATCCATAAATATCTCTTTTTTTCCTCTTACCACTTTATTAATTCCCATGGGCCTACCCGAAGAGAGTTGGCCGATCGCTCAAACTCTTGAAGCTACAGTCTGACTTGATCTCTAAAAGAAGGTTGGGATCGGCTTGTTGACCTTGACGATTAATGGCCGTGCACCTACCTTGACGAGCACATCTCTGGTTGCTGTAACCCTCGCTTTTCTTAATCACATGGCCTCGATGATCTTGAAGTTTTTGTCACTGATTATGATGGCATAATCTAACAGGCAAATCAGAGGAACAAACGTACAATGCATTCTATGACCTGTGACTCTCCAATGACAACGTCCATAGTTCTATTCAATTACATCCAACCGCATTCCAATAGTACCACCAATATTGTTAGGCCTCAGTCTCTTATCAGTCCCCACATATTTCCTTCGTTGTTGGAAATTATTAGGACTACCTCCTTCCCATTTGCACCGTAGGATGGATGTAACGATTTAGTGTGGAAAAGAAGAAAATTTCTCAAAAAAAGCTACCATTTAGGAGACTTAACTAGGAAAAAAGTATTACTATGATGAAAAGAAAAATAAACATCCAAACAGAACTTTAGAGTGTAGACCTATAGACCTTATGGACTATAGTTTGAAGAGAAAGGGTAGTCTCACCATCAGATGCCATGAAATTTTCAGGCACCCAATAGGGACATAAATTAATTTTTAAAAATCGAAAGATAGATATCTACCAATAAAAACTAATGACAAATTAATCTGAAAATCACTAATATATCTGCGTAACTTTACGATCCATTTTTGACTTGAGAAATGGTTAAATAATCATTCCATCTCTGTCTTGGAGTTGTGTAAATCCTTGGAAGGACCAAGTAGGAGGATCTAAATCATAACAAAAGACAAGGATTATGATTGATTTGGCTTAAATTAAAAAACATCACATCAACTTTTTGAGCCCAGTATCTATCTTCCCCAAGATGGCGGACCTGAAACACACTGCTAGATCGAATATATTCGTTGTCGGCTTCCATTTTATTTTTCACATATCGAGATAAAGCAAAGTAGATACTGAATAGAACTCAATCCAAACAAAAGTAAAAACTTCATTGACATCTGTTAAGAGATTGGTCGTCAAATTTGTCTTTTAAAACTTACGAACGTCCAAGGAGATTCGATAAACCTATAAATTCTTAATTCTCATACTCATCGATCATGGGACTAAATGATCTTATCAATGCTCCCTTCTATAGAAGAGCCAAGGGAACGGGTTTGCTCGATCGAGATGCAAGCCTCGATCCTTCCTTCTAGCGCCAATCTAATAAAGGATCATTTGGTCGATTAACCATTGATGCGACCCTTAAGAACGTAAGAAATTATCGGCTTTGGGCGATGGACATACCCACACGATTTTATCTTTTTAGAGCTCATGAGCTCCAAAAGGCGCCTCTAAAGATAAGAGAGACCCGAGAGACCTTTAAGCCATTGGTTCTCATACTCAACTAATATAAGAGTAAATTATATTATCAATGAAAAATATTGTGCAACTTCACACTATGGCTGATTACTCGATCCGATTCGAGTACATAAGATCATCGACATGGCTTCATAGCCGAAGAGAGTCAGCATCAGGTCAAGTCAGGTTAGGAGGACATCTGCCGAGCTGATCTAAGATGGACCCATAAGAAGGCAAGGAATTGTCGACTTTGAACAATGGATGTTCTCACACGATTTTATCTTTTTAGAGCTCGTGAGCTCCAAAAGATGCCTCTAAAGGTAAGAGAGACCCGAGGGACTTATAAGTCATTAGTTCTTATACTCAACCATTGTAGGAGTAAATGACCTTATCAATGAAAAATGTTGTGCAACTTCACACTATGGCCGATTATCAGCACGACTCGATTCGATCCGAGTACGCAAGGTCATCAATGTGGCTTCATGGCTAGAGAGAGTCAGCATCAAGTCGGATCGGTAGGACATCTGCCGAGCCGATCCAAGGTGGAGCTAGGGGGTTGCTTTTCCTTCCTCGTTGACACATAAGCCGAAGTCGGGAGAGAAAATCCTGACTCGACCGCTCACTTAAATTAATATGATACTAATGGGATGGATTTGAGTGTCCGAGATCTAACCCCTTGGGTTGGCAGGAGGTCGGCTTTTATACCCATAGTCGAGAGTCAATCGTACTTGGTTCGTTAATGGTCATCGATGCTCTAGGCAACGGGCTCGTGCACTCTGCGTAAGTGCTAACCAACCTACATGGCTTTGCATTGAACCATGTTGATTCGCACCTTCTTGAGTGGCACGACACTACATGTTGAACCGTATAGCCTCGAGTGATGTAAGCATGGTCGGTTGTCTCGTAAGAATTTGTGTTGGCGACATGAGTGTAATCTACTGTCCCGTACAGACTTGAGGTGCCACATCGGCATGCTTGTATTGGCCACATCAACCTTGGAGGTGCTACGTCTACTCTAATGTGGCTTAATGCAATTGCGAGGGTGATGCCAGAATATACCTTATCATTTAATGTGTAGATCCGGTAAACACAATCACAATATGAAAATCTAGAATGGATCCATAAACTTGTCGTTTCAGTAAGGTCACATCCGATTCAATTCTAGATCCTTGATGGATTTGAACTGATACGATCTCTAACATAATTGCAAGTTAGGTCACATCCGATTGCAAGTTAAACAAGATCTTATATTATCTAGGACAAGGTCGTTTCAGTTATTACACATCTAATTGTTTGAAGCTAGATTTATCTTAAACTTTCAGAGGAAAATGAGTCACTTTCGACTACATTACCACGGTTTAGGATCAGGTCAACATTTTATTCCAGCAATTCTAATCAGATGCCGGTCCATTGCTCTCGCAGAATGGCAATTTTATCCCTCTTTGGTGATGGTGAAACCAGTTAACTTCTATGTAAACCTTCAGTAGCTTAAGCTCAGTAGACTTTTAATGGAAAATCAAACGGTTCGAGATCCAGATACAAGGAAAGAAGCTCACTCTTGTTAAACATATCCTGGTCCCTTCAGGATGGGTACATCTTGAGCAGTGTCAAATATTTATTTTGATTAGATTTTAACGTGTTAGATAACCTTATCTATAAGAGGCAAGCTTTTTCTTACAAGGTAAAACATATATTAATTATATAAATCATATCAAAAATCTGATTGCGCTCACACATATACTAGTATTAGACATGATTTATCTCTTTGCCTAATGTATCCCAGGATGACTTGCTTGGATTACCTTCAAATGTGACTTTGCTTTTGATTTGGTCCTTGAGATAATCCCAATATCTAAGCCTCTCTACAGAATGATATTATTTAAGTAAGTGAAATTGAAAAAGCAACTACAAGGACTATTAAATAAGGATTTTATTTGGCTTAATATTTCATCATGGGGTGATCCGATGTTAGTTAAAAAGATGAATGGAACATTGAGACTTTACATTAATTTTAGACAATTAAATCAGGTGATAAAAAAAAATGAGTATTTTTCGAAGTAACGACTTGTTTGATTAACTTCAAGATACACAAGTATTTTCAAAGATTGATTGAAGGTCGGGTGAGGATCAAGGAGGAGAATATTTCGAACAGAACATCCACATTCATATAAAATTAGAGAGCATTTGGTTGCCCATAATCAAACTACCTATAGATCTATTTACAATAGGAAGCTTTTGACTAACATTTGATTATCTGCAAGTAA